GGGCAGGCCTTGCTCTTCTGGAACCTGCCAGCACAAGCAGCACTGTCAGCAGGAATCCCCCACCGGGACAGGGGGTTTGAGCCCTCCGTCTGTGAGACTCCACTGGGGCCCACCAAAACTGGCTGCAGACTCTCCCTGCTAAGGGGGAGGTGATTCTCGTACAACTTGCGTGCAGCCAAAGGAAGACAACTAGAGAAGCTGGACGCAGAAATAACAGCACCTATGAGGAGACTCGGTCAAAAGAATGAAATGGTGTGAGCTAGAGCTGGACCAGCGGGGACAAGAAGAAGCCACCACCCAAGAGAGGAAGTGCCAGGAAATTCTAAAGCAGCCACAAGAGACACAGCCTTCTCTCTAACCAAAACGGCATTTCTAACCATCAGAAGCCTTCTGAAGGCACCTCAAGGCACTGATTCAGAGGGTGTGAGCCATTCAAACAATTTAATAAAGCATCTGGGATTCCCCCAAGAATTGAGCCAAGCAGACTCTGTTTAGCAGACCAAGAGCTGAGCACATTACGGCTACAAAGGGCAGACTTGAAGCTTGCTCTCCTTTTCTGAAGCCGTGTTGGGAAATGTATTTTTACCACTGAGGAGTCGTCACTTCTGGGATCAAACAGAGCCGTGTGCACGGTACCTTTCACAGAGCTGGAACTCGCCCATAGGGAAGCGATAGCTCCAGCAGCTGGAGTCACTGTCTGAGGTGAAGACCTTCTCCTTGTGCTTCTCTGACTGGATGTGCTGCTGCCATTGCTTCTTGCTGTTGCTGTTCTTCCCGCAGAGCCAGCAGTGGTAGCCCATCTAATGGGTGCAGAAAGGGCAGAAGGCCAGTTAGTGCATCAATATTCACACTCACTGGCCTTCCTTATGTTGGCATCACCTCTCCCAATCTCCCTCCCAAGCATCCTGGATATTTGCCTCACTCTAAGACCTCACACTCTTCCCTGACACATCATCTTCTGGTCATTATGCTGCTGAAGGCAAGCAGAGGAGATGCTCTGAGTCTACCCACAGTTCAAGCTGACTGTGAGGCGCTCAGGCAGCACAAGAACCCTCAGGAGCACAAACTCTTTCCCCAGCCACCATTCCTGGGCTAAGGAGATACATCTGTCTTTGATTTTCTCAGGTCTCTGTGCTCCACACACAGCTCATCTCCAAGGTTCCCCTTCTTTTCTCACAGGCCAGCAGTGGTTTTCCCAGCTTCCCCAGGAGCAGGAATCCTGGGGAGAGGCTGAGCCCACACGAAACGCCTACTCACTTGAGGATTAACAGAAAAGCTGTCCAAAGCCTTGTTGCCCCAGGTAAATCCCCTCCCACCTCATCTGTGCTGCTCCAAGCTGTCCATTTAACCTACATCAGCACAGGCTCTTTCCCAGAAGAGCAATTCAGCCCCTGCTGGCTTATACCTGGAGCACTGAAGGACAAGGATGAAGGACAAGAGATTAGCTGTTTACCATGATGTCAGCATAGTCAGTGGGCATCTGGATCTGTTTCTCCCCTTCTCGCGAAGTGAGTGGTGTTCCCTCTCCAGGCTTCCCAGGATTGTGTTTCTTTAGCCACATGTCATAGGTCTGCTGCATATCTAGTACTGCACAAAGGCGACCCGTGAAGTCACTCAGACAACCTCCCGCACCGTGCACAAACTACAAGAAAAGGATGAATGGTGGGGCAACCCTTTCCTCCCCTCTCCAGTGCAGCAACTCCTGCCATCAGAGCTCAGGCCAGTGCTCAGCAGGCTCAGTGTCACCTTCCCAGGTAAGAGCTGTGGGCAGAGGAGCTAAATTTACACCTCCCCAGCCTGTCATGAGAAGCTGTCTTTTACGAGTCAAGGGGCACCCATGACAGCAGGTACATTCAGGAAGGACAGAAGGTGCCCCAAGATCCCCATGGACTTCACCCCATGAGGCGACTCTCCATCAGGCTTGATTCTGCTCGACCCCAGCAGGCATCTCACTGCAGCCACAGTGAAGGCAGGGGCTGGATTCGGATCCATCCCTTCCCTCTAAGTCTGCACTTCATCCTCAGTGCTCAAGGAGGAGGAAAGCCGATAAGCAAGCTGGCCACAGGAAGCACTAGGGAGGGGAGGAAGATCTAATGATAGCCTGCCCCAGAGTTCAAACCCTACCCAGAGGAGTGCAATCCATGTGTCTTGGTGCTTTTGGTTTAAAACCCATTTGGGATGCTGCTGAGAAATTTTGGCTGGAAGATTTGACTGCACATCTGCCTTTTCAAGATCAATTTGTGAGATAGGCCACAGAAAAATAAGAATTTGCAGATAACAGTGTGACGTTCTAAATGCAATGCATTAGTGATTAGTGATTACCCTCATTAAAAGGGTAATTGAAGAACTCAAGGTAATGGGGAATAATTAATGCAAATTGGCCCACACTGAAACAATGCTGTTGTTTGAAGATTCACCTTCATGCTCGAACAAACACATCCAGACTGGTCTGATGTGCTTAAAAAAGGCCCACTAACAAAAGCTCTTGAACCACAACAAACAATAGCATTTGGCACAGCAGAGAAAGACCCTCCATCCAAGCACAAAAACCAAATGACCGGAAATCCTTCAAGCTTATCAGCAGCTCCCACCAGAGCTAGGTAAGCACCTGAAAAACTGGGCATTGCAAAGAATCTTTTTTCCCCAGCTCGCCATTAGTCTGAACAAACAACGGATGACAGAGAGCTGACAGTCCCTCCACGAGTCCTTCTCTGCTCCCACGGGCACAAAGCTGTGTGGGATTCAGCTGATGTCAGTGCCACTGAAGCTTTTCTGGGGAACTGCCAGGGCAACACCTTGTCAGGAATAAGCCTGAACAGACCCTGCATCCACAGCCCACATTTCCCACACTCACTTTTGTTTTCCTTCATGAAGGTCCACATGTCTCTCTCCTCAGGACTATGGGCGAAGGAGCAGTTGCCCACATACTGGCATTTCCTGCCATTTTGTGCATGGATACATAACTGTTAAAAGACAGAGAGCAAAATTTAGCATCTGCGCAAACATTCCTTGCTGGAGGGGAAAATGGACTCAAAAAAACAATAAGGGTGTTAAACTGCACACAGGAGAAGTCACAAAACAGGACACATCATGTATCATTAACTGATGCTTCTTTTCCTCAAGCTCTCTATAACATGAAAGGTAAGATCTCCCTATAAACACAGAGGCAGCTCAGTTCAGCACCTGGCCTCTCTCTAAGTGCCCTTCCCACATGCAACTGGCCCTGGGGAAAACAGCAGGGACCAACCTGGACAGACCTAACAATATCTCCTGCTGGTCACACTGCTGGCCCCAAAGGTGACACGTTCTCCAGCCATCTCCAAGCAGGCAAAGATAGGCCTATGGCAACCTACTTTCACTGCGTGACTCACAACTCATGGGGGCCTCATCTCCTATTGCAGCAACCATAATAATCTCTTGCTGCCCCTTCCCAGCCTCCAGCAACAGGCCTTCAACTGGAGAGTGCCAAAGGCCTCACCTTCCACCTGGGCACGGATACAGGGGATCCCATGGGGCAGCAAGGAGAGGAGCTTTTCCTTTTTAGGGAGAAAGGAAAAGAAAGGGTGAGAGTGATAACTGTTTGCCATATTTGGAGCTGGGGGAAGAGGTTGGATATCTGTTGTCTTCCTCATAGCGTGAGGCTTTTTAGCTGAGTTCTTAGTTCAGCTTTCAAAACACAATTTGGGCAAATTTCACAACAGACAGCAGTCCAGACACAGCAAAGGCAGGGGTAGGCTTCTCCCCAGTACTCCATCTCACCTCTCACCCACATTGAGAAACCTTGACCCTAAGAGAAGCCTTAAACCTCATCTCCAAACCCTGTGCCAACCAGTTCTAGAGATGGTGACTGCATTAACAACAGCGACAGGAACTTGCATACGTGTGTAACTGAGTGTTTCAAATGAGTGCTGCTCCTTTTCCTGCTCCACCATTTTACTGGATGCATCTGAGATCTCTCTGCCTTCAGTTTGTCCTGCTCTCACACCTCAGTCAACATCACGTGCCTGCTTCCCAGACAGGTCTACAACAGAGCATGCCTCAAAGCACTGCACAATGGTGGGAGGAAAGGGGCACTTGGCTGAGCCATTTATGGGGCTTACATCATATTGCTGTGGGAAGTTGCGGATGGAAGGCAGTGGTCGGACAGACACCCACTTCTTCTTCGCTTTGGACATCACCAGCAGAACTCGACGTTCCTTTGTCCAACTAAGGAAGAGAGAATAAATCAGTCGAGGTAAGAGGAAGAGCAAATCAAAGCTTTGTTTTCCTCAGAGATCTCTTGAATATGGAGAGATGACCAGATCCTCCAGTTTAGCTTGTCCCTGCTGCTATCTACCTGCTCCTAGATATCATTGGTAGAGGAGTCTAAAGAAGGGTGTTTAGGAGGATTTCTCCCACTACTTCTTACATGTTTTCTGGGATACATCTTTTTGTAAAGCCACAAAAGTTTCCCCCACGTCTTGCGTGGCATCACCATGAATTACTAAACTGCGTTCCACCCTTTGACACAGCCAATTCTTGTGCAACAAGATCTGTAGAAAACATTTAGGAATATTTTCTGCTTGAAAGGTACAGCAAAAATGCAAGTCATTACAAGCACTGTCTTATGAACATGAAGTACTAATTCTCGGGCAGCATCAGCAAGTGATCACCAGGAAATACCCTGGGCAAAAGCCTCAGCTCTGTTCAGCAGCTGCACAGAGGTGTTATCTTCCCATTTTAAGAAGTAATCCTTTCCTTCTCACTTCCTCCAGCAACTCCTGCCTCTGTGTCTTTTCCATCAAAGGTCTTAACATTTGCGATAGCATGCTGAACTGTACCTATGTGGCTTGTGTTTTGGGAACTGATGTCCTATAAACCTTTCCATCCTGTGCTGCCAAGTTGCCTGGGTGAGAGGGGCCACAGTTTCCATGGCCCAATGGCCTATTTCCAGCCAATACTCCCTTTCTATCAAACCCAACGGGTTCCATGTACTAGGAGGTACAAAAAGATAAGACTTATGTCAGAGAAGAGCAACAAAAGCAATGAAAGGGCTAAGGAAACTAATTTAAAAAGAAGTACAACTCCTTGAATAATTGCTAATAGTGACATGCCAGACATCTTCAAACAGCACAGAGTACAAACAAGCGCAGAGCAGAACTATTTTAGTGACCTTGCTAAGGAGTAATGATAGCAGCTGGAGGAAAGGGAATTGCAGGAGCTGGACTGCAAGCACTAAGATTAAGAGTCTGGCTGTGATGCACCATGCACAGTGCTGGCAGCAGGTACAAGAAGTAATAAAGAGAGCTGGAAACTGGAAAACAGCTACCTGCAATGCTCACTATAAAATACCCTGAGGACAAAGAGGCTGCTAGGAAACCTTACAACCTCTTCCAACTATGCCAAATGAAGCCTTGGAGAATGTAAGAGGAGAAATTCCTGCCCTTCAGGAGGGGTGGGGAGAAGAGAAGGTTGCATTGCTCACCAGTGGCGGGCTTTGGCACTACAGTACTTGAGGTCTTTATCTGGCTCCACCAGCTGTCCATTCCTCCAGCACTGGCCACACACAAATTTCATCTGAAGGTCAAAGGTGCTCGATGTGGGAGCCCGGGGAGAAGCCTGGGGAAGAGAACCAGCACCTCAGGCAAGCAGAGCCAAAACACACCCCCTAAAATGCCACAGTGGCAGCTCCCAGAGCACCCATGTGCCAGAAACTAATTGATTAAAACAGAGACAGCCCAGCTCTCCTTCACCAGAGTTAGCTGGTGGTCATTGAAATACCAGATGGTAGTGAAACTAATGCTGGCTTCAGCATGATTTCCTGCATTTTGACTTCTGGCCAAGAGCACAGCCAGCCTGGCAACTTCCAGCACTGACCAGGCCTGACTGCCAAACCCCTGCAGCGTACCTCCATGTACAGACAAGCTCTGCAAGAGCTGCCCCAGTGCTTAATCCCTGCTTCCCCGCAGGGAGGACAACCCACATCCTCCTTGCTATGCACAGAGAGAGCTCTATTGCACAGCTTGAGGATCTCCTGGAGAGGAAGCCAGGCTGTGACACAAGGCAGGAGCTGCTTCTGGACCAAGAGGCTCATGTTACACGGGGCATTTGAAACACCAAAGTCAGAGTGGGGTCCTCTTGTTAATACTTTTTAAAGCCATTTCTGGGCAGATTTCCATCCCTCATAGTGCCCTTACTACAAGTTTCACAGGCAGTCAATTACAATCTCTGGATAGAGGTACAACCATAAACACCCACACTTCATATCCTCTCAGCCACTTAGCTTAATTGGCCTTCTACTTGTCATCATCACAAGTGGACGCTTTGGGATTATGACCAACAGATTGTGCAGGAAAAAACCCAACAACCTAAGCAAGTCCCATATCACCACTGTCTTGCATTATCTCAGCAAATCTCTGAAAAGTCATTTAAACTTTATACCATCACTGATGGACACAATGCTAGTGTCTCCTGTTCATTGCCAAACCAAAGACCAAACCTGACTGCAAGCCAGCAGCTGTGGGCACAGGTACATGGAACATCCTGGTGATGAAACCAACCATGAAGCACAAAAGTGGCAAATCAGTAAGCAGCTCACTAGCTGCTAACCACACAAGCAGCCCCCACACCTGCCATGCCTTCACTTCTGATCTCAAGCATCTCATAAGGAACAGACAAACAAGCAGCATCCCAGAGGAGCTGGCTTCTGCCAGCAACAGCAGTTGTGTGGATCCTGCACGCATCATCTGGCAAAAGGAAAGCAGCAAATGCAGGGTGGTGCAGAATCAAAGCATCTCTCAGGAAACACTACATAAGCTACTGGTTACCACTCTGCATCTGTCAGACCCAGACTTACAAAGCAGATGTGGCAGACAGAGGCCCTCTGGCTCTGTGAAAAGCTATGCAGAGAGGTAGCCTTTGCCCATGCTGACTGCAAGGCTCTCACTGCTAAAGGACTTTTGGAGAACCACCATCTCTATTGCAAAGCAGTGTTGATTCTGGCCTACTTGCCTGTAAGGTGGCCTTTCTGGTGGCATCTGTGATGTGACTTGTTCATCTGTTGGTCTTCACTGATGCTGGTGACCACCAAGAACACATTAAAGTGGCCAGCTGCAGGATGAACAGGGTTGAGGTCTGGGATATCATAGAAGGCAGTAAGGTGTCTCGCTCTCAAATGTGGCAATTCAACAGTAGTTTTAATCTCCATTTGGTGTTCAAAGAAAATTACAGTTTGCCACTGACCCACCATACCTATGGGGCTGAAATAACACAACAGTACTGCTGGAATACTGGCTTTTATCAGCCCAGTGCTATCTGCCATATAATCTATCAGGCAACACATTCTGCAGCACAGCCAGAAAGCTCAACTCAAATCTACTGAACCAGCAAAAGGAAAAACCGAGTGGTTCCAGAAGTCACAATAGATTGAAGAGGGAGAGAACATGTTTCTCAGGTAATTCTGGTGCACTAGGCTGCTTTTTCAGAAATGCATGATGAAATGAAGCCCTATGCATTTCTTCACGGGAGTCTTGCCAACTGCTGGTCACTAATCCAGTGGGCATGTATGCTCCCAGGGGATTAGGAGTAAAACAAAAATCAAAGCTGCTGCTGTTGCCGCTACACGATTGTATTTGTAAAGGCAAGACACATACCTGGCAGGCTGCTGATAACCAGCAGTGTGGAAATTAGTATCACATGAGGCTGTAGCAGACTAAGCCAGACAAAAGTGCCTCCGGCTGTGGCACCACCCCTTGTTCTAAAGCCAGACAATATAGTGTTAGCTATGCACTATGGCAACCAAATAAATAGAAGTCTTTGGCACAACAGTTCTCCACTTGAGGATTTGCAAAAAGCAAAGCCCCAGCACTGCCATGCATGTCTCCCAGCTACAGGAAGTCTTTTCAAGTCATAAGAAAATGCTATCTGGAGGATCCATGTGCCCTTGGGGAACACTACAGCAGCCCGGGTTACTCAGTCACCTGAGTGAGCTGTATTTAGGCACAAGTATCCCTTATGACAGCAAGGGATGATCCTTTCATCTCCCTGCTGAAGTTGCTAATTCTGGGGTCAGTTTGCATGGCAGTTCTGCAGCTGGCCAGTGGGATGAAACAAAACAGCCCACAAGAAACAGAAAAAACGAGGGCTTAAACCCCTCAGCTCCTGGGGTGCACTGGGAGTTGAGGACTCCCAGCTACCTACAACCGTCTCTCCTGATGAATGACTGCCTCTTCCATCAGCAGCCACAGGGCTTATTCCCACTGCAGCCTCCATACGAGCTCCCTGCCAAGTGTTCAGCAAGAAGTGTATCATCATATTCCATTTCTTACTAGATCTTCATCACAGCTGCCAGGTGCCTGTATGCTGCCTGCCTTTCTTTTTCACAACTGGATAGGACTCAGCTGCTGTGTCCAACTGGCTGCTGTGACAAAACTGCTGCAAAATCCCTGGGAAGATCATTGCTTCCATTGACCGGAGGGCACCAGGGCAAGCATGGATCACACTGGACGATGGGAAGAAGAGGTCTGCTTTTACAGTAATCCTGGGAAGTTGTCTTTGCCAGGAGGCCAACTTCAAAAGCTGGAAGGACACTGAGAAAACTATGAGTCACATTAGCCTGCTTGAACTGGGGAACATAATAGCAAAAGAAAACATCTCCCAACAGATACATTATTCCTGCCGCCAGGGTCTTCAGCAGCAAGACTGTGTCTCATCCCAGAGCAGAGCACTCTGCCTGAATATGTGCTGATGCCCAAGCTGTGGTCTGCTACTGCAAACAGAGATGTCTGACTGACTTGACTGTCTCCCTACCCTGTGACAAACTGCCAAGTCCTACAGATAATTGATGGTGCCACTAGTAAGCACATTCTGACTGTACCAACAAGGCTGCTGCTTCACCTCTGAACAAACTGAAGTCCTGGAAGAACTCAGGGTAAATCCAGCTCTGCACCAGGCATGTGTGGGGCACAACCAGACTTTGTATTGACCATCAGTATGAAACACTGCCCATAGAACCCAGAAAATGAAGCTCTCTGCCCATCCCCTGATGGCTGTTGTAACAGGTGCTGGCATTTCTTTTTCTCAGTCTCTGCCCCTGCAAGCCCCAGCAGCCAGAAATGAAACCCTTACTCAGCATGTAGAGCTCACATGCTTCAGTGGACATGCTCTGACCATGCCTTGCATACAGCTTATTCTAACAGCAGCACCTCCAGTGAATGGTGAACATGATGTTGCAAGGCTTCAAAAATACAGATGTCCATTGATATTGTTTTACCCCAACATTATACAGAGAATGACAAGGCAGAGCTTTCTGGATAACACTGGCAGCTCCGTTGCAGGCCGGAAAGAACCAATCACTAGACTTCATTCTCCATGGGGCAGGGACTGCCGAGATAAATCTAACTACTGTCACAAACTGCTGCAGATTCATACTTAGTTTCCTCCCCTGTGGAGATGCAGATATCTGTCTCCACCTCTATGCCAGGCTAGAAAGAGAACATAGGCAGCTCTGTCTGATGGAACCATTCAGATTTTTCACTTCTCACATAATACAGATAGTAAAAACTTATCTCATACCTTCAGAACCAAACATACAGTTTCCTGACAGGTTAGAACAAGTTACTTAGGCAAGTCAGGCAGCTTTGGGAACTAGTGACCTTGGTTACTCTTGACTGCTGCTTCCCACTTCTCAGTCAGCACGGCACCCTCTTCCCCTGTCATTTCAGACCATGACAGCAGAATATGGATGTATGTTGCTGAGCATTTCCTCAAAGATGACTCCATCTCACGCAGCATAACCAGTAGATATTTGGGCATACAGCATACTGAGACCATTACTGCAAGTCACTTGAGTCTTTCCTAGTGGGATAACCCATGCTGATCACAGCCGCTTTTCCCAGCATCAGCACCCTATGGCCTTCAGAATACTTCTGGTGGCTTGTGATGTAGCCAAAAAAGCTGCTGTACACCATGTGAGCGACTCAGACCTCTGTCCTACAAAACATTTTCTTCCAGGATGCTCAGAAGCTGTATTCAGTAGTACAAGGAGACTCCTGGAGGGAGGTCCCAAACAGAGGTGAATCACCCTTGCCCTGGGAGTAAGGGACAGGCCAAGTAGTGATGGGTTTAGGCCTCCACAAGGGGAAGAAAGCTGTCAGGTGGGAATGAAATGGATTCACAACACATTCTCCATCATTTTGCAGGGGAGAGGATTGTGCCTACCCTTGAGAGCTTGCTAGGAGGCATAACATAAATTTCACCAGATTTATCTTTTGAAGGTAACCAAGGAACAGAAAATCACTGTTCTAATGACAGAAAACTGCTTTAGTTCAATCTCAGGGCTAGGAATTAACCTCACTAGGTGGGCTCTGCTCCTGTGCTACAGAACACCTCCTTGAAGGAATGAGAGGGTAAGGTGGCACCACCCATAGCCAGTGAACTGGAATAAAGTAAACAAAGAGGTGTTCTTTGTTTGAAACACCTCTCCAGAGAAATCTCTTGGCTGTGCTTCAAGTGCAGCCAAAGACACCTTTTCCCATACTGAGAGACTGGTGAAATAAAGCAGAGACAAAGCTCACGTTGTCCCCCTGTCAAGGTGCCACCAAGGTCTCTGACCAGCCCCAGCAGTACCTAAACCACAAGTTCCACACACTCCCGTGTTAAGAGTAACCCCATGGATCATGAGTTGTTTCTTACAGTCCTTCCAGATTGCCATAACATCCCTTGGCCACTAAAGGGCAGCAGGACATCTTTGATCCCCACTCTGTGTGGACAGGACCCCCAAAGTCTCTTAGTTTCACTAGCAAGATGTTGCAAGAAGCACCATTCTCTGTGTGTTGCCCTCTCTGCTCTGAGGGCTTTTCTCCACCACTGAACTGAGCAGATACCATGCTGATAAACAAGATGCAAAGATCATCACAAGCACTGCAAAACAGAAAGCTCACAGCTGTCCTCCTCCTCTGTGGCCAGCCTGGTTTGCTGAGACCTGCTAGGCACATGGCATAGTAGTGGGAGGAAAAGAGAGAAAAAGCGCTGGAACAGTTAGGAGCAACAAGCCTGAGATGCACCTTACCATGTTGTTGGTTGGTTTGCTGGCATGTGCCTCCATCTGTTGCCAGTACTTCTTAGATTCCTGCACAATATCTTCGTGGGTCATTCCTGGGAACAAGAAGGAGGAGACAGGACTGAGCTACTCCACTATGGCCAACAGAAGAGAGGGAGGGAGGGCTGGCAGAACTTCCAGCACTGGGGCTTAGGAATCCCCTGTGTGGCTAACAGCTCCCAGCAGTCCACCAGGAATGCCAGCAGGTGGGTCATGAGGGAATCCAACACCACCATAGAACCTGTTCAAAAAACAAGGTAGGGAAGGACTCCAGCACTCTCAAGCCAACCAGACAAGTGGGAAGAGTTTGGTCTTCTGAGCATAGTCAGATCTGGCATTCTTCTCAGACTGTACAAAAAACCTTGACGCTGCCTCCAAGATGCTGATTCTTGACTAGGGATCAAGACCTTGACCAACACCAAATCAACAGATCTACTCAAGGCTCTAAAGATGACATTTTGTTACTGCTGATCCATTAATCCCTGCTAGGATTAATTAGCCTGCTACATACTTCAAATTTAGTGTTCATCAATCAATAAGCGAAGAAAAAAGCTGAATTTCAACAGTCCAGCCAAAGTTGAAAGGAAAGATCAAAAGCGCAAAACCAACAAAGAAACAGCTGCTTCTCCTTCAGCAAGAAAGGATCTGCAAGGTTTCAGGAATCACAAATGCATCAGCCAAGGAGAAGAAGGGTTGGTTAGACTTTATCTAAGGAATTAGCTCCTGGCCAACTCAAGGGTGAAGTAACATCCTCTGTCAGCACCAACCAGATTAGATTGCAATTCTCAGAGAACTAAACATTAAAAGAAAAGTATGGAAGAATAGGAGCTGGCTGGTCAGTGTGAGAACCGGCTCCATTAGAGATAAGCCATGTTATTTAAGTGCTGTAAAGACCTAAAATATCTGTCAAAACAAACTGAAGTATCTTACTACTGCTAGTTGAGTGCAACAAGTGGGATGCTGAGGACGGCCTTGGTGTAGTACTCCCAGCCCAGAGGGCTTACAAAATTGTTTTGCTTTTACCAACAGCTTCTATTATCAAAGCTTGGTGCTCTGCAGACATGCTATATGGACATGATCTCCGATTTGGGAGTCAGCATGTTCCAGAAGATAAGGGCCAGCAAACACAAGTTTTCATCTCAGCTTAGGTTGTGTGCAACTTGGGTGAGCCACAGTACACTTGACCTCAGTTTCCCCATCTGTGATTTCAGCTATCCAGATCCCCGCCAGACAATAATACTACTGTTTGTACGGGGTTTGGCCAGTATTAAAGGACTTTCTCCAGGAAGTTTTGCTGAGGCCTCTAAAATGGCAACTGCTGCCTAGCTGGTACTCCCAGATCAGAGCTGTTGTAGATTTTTTCCTTATTAGCCATAAATCCCAAAAGACACTAGGTAGAGTTAGTAAAACTGCAACTCTCTCTCTCATGTCTAAGCAGTCCAGAGCTGGACACAGCCCTGATCTACACTTTGGGGGCAAAAACTACAAAGCTGGGAAAACCACAGGGAACAGTTAATTCACTGCACTGGATCTGGCAGAGAAATGGCCAAAGGAACCTCCATCATCTCCATTCTTCACTCCTGCACTGATCCTTGGCATGAAGAAACAGCAGGACAAAGATATACAGCTCCTGTCAGAAGGCTGAATTTCAAATAACTGCCTTCTCCCACTCCCAGAAATCTGAACTGAACAATATGGTCTAGAAATGTAGTGGTTGGAAAACACTCCCAGATGTGAAAGAATGTTTTCTGATACAAAGCATGAACTGTCCCAAAGAGAAACTCTGGGAAGCAAAAGGTGATCAGTAATGCTGATTACTTTTAACACTTCAACATTCTTTTGCAACATCACTAGTTAACGCAAAGGCTCTGATTTCCAATGACAGAAGAAGATAGCAAGGTATATCTGTGAATAGCCACACTGAAGAAAGAAGCAGTCCTTGCCCACCCACATTTTCAAATCATGGGAACCTTCACTCTGTAAGTGCCATCCATTTCCCCATGAACAAAGCCACATGTTCTGTAAAAGCTCAAATGGCTGTGAAATGCAACAGCCTACTGGTTTCAAATGCAGGCTGCTACGAACAATGGATGCTCCCTTTCTATTTTTGCAGAGCACTTGGTGCCTAAATCAAGATCTCTGCTCCAAGGCTAAGGCCTTCTCAGAGACTGGTGACAACCACTGTTCACCTGTTGCCTTAACAGGGATTGTATTTTAGAGAGGTAATAATCTACCACTCTAGAACAGGCTCATATCCACTTCTCTGCAGAAATATCAGAAAGATTCTGGCTGTCCTGTTGTTGGAAAAGATAAGAACAAGCACAAGACTTACTGACCACTTCTGCAGCTAAACTCTTGGTTTTATCTCCTCAGCTTCTCTTTTGAAAGTGACTGGATGCAAAAAAAAAAGCACTTTTTTTTGCAAAAAGCAAAAATCAATTTCTTCTACAGGCAGAAGAGGAAGGAAGAAGGAAAGAGAGAGCAAGGAGACTTCTAAAAATAAAAAATAAAAATGAGGTGAGGTAAAGAGCAGGATGCTTGAATACTAGAGTGCTCAGAGTACTACACAGTATCATGAGCATTTAGTGGAGTAATCCTGCATATGATTCACAAGCAGCACATCATCTTAGAAACTCTAGTGTTTAAACTTTTTTTTTTCCTGTGGCCATGAGTAAGTGAAGACAGCTGGGCAAAATGGAGATGGCATTTGCCACAGTATGCTGCTTGTTCTCCACTGTCCTTCATGAGCCAAGTCAAGGCTAAGGACTGCATGAGCAATAGTGACAGAGAGTTGAACAGTAAACTGAGTTAGTTGCCTCCAATTACATCAAAGAATGGTAAAGAAAATTTAAAACATGTTTCCTCTCTAAAGCATTCCCATTACCAGGCTGGATTCTGCACTAAACAAGACCCTGTGGCGAAAAAACATCCAGGCAACTTTGTGGGTGGACCAACATCTACTCAGTTAACAGGAGAGCAGCAAGAAAAACCCTCCAGCATCGTCAGGGAGGAGTGAAAATGCCAGATGTGGCCATGTAAATGTATGAGTGATCTGAACATAATTCCTGTAGTAGCCTCTTCAGACGTCCATCATCACAGCCTTTCTGGGAAACACCAAGAACCTTATCACTTCACACTGTTGGTGAATTTGTTCAGAGAAATTAGAGATGTGCCAGATGTTTATTCCAAGTCCCAACTGCTATTTAGGATTTTCTGCAGGATTTATACATCAAAACACCTTTGAAGATTCAATTCTACCTAACAATCATTTCAACTTATATAGCTGGTCCCAAAGGAAAAGCTCCCTGGTCTGCAGTTTACAGTAGCTCCTGTAAAGGGACAAGGGCCAAATAATCTCACAGAACACCTTGGCACTATTTTCTGTGTCTCTTGAGGAGAGAGATTAAGCATAGGCACAAGTGAGCAACAATTTCCCAGCACTTCCACATCACCTCCTTCCCCTCTTAACTGGCTCCAGGCACATGCTAGAAGAAACTAAGATGTACACATCACCAGTCCTGCACCAAGCCACACTCACCTGAATACTGCTGCAGCAGCCAGACCTTGAGCTCAATGAAACTATGAGCAAAGTGGCAGCTATCCTCACGCAGGCAGCCGTAGCGCACCTCGTGCCGGCACACATCAAACTGAAAGTGTTCCTGGAACTGTCGGATCTTGGAATATTTCAGGGATGTGGAACGTACGATGTGGACCAGACACCTACAGCCAGGCCAGAGAAATGTGAGTCATCAGAGCACCAATTCTCCTCCCGCTCCTCCTTACATCTGGTTTTCGTCCATTTGACTGAACAGGCAAAGGACACAGAAGATCAGCTCTAGGAGATCAGGAGATGCGAACACCTGAGAAACCAAGTTGCTGCCCTCTCAGCCAGTCTCAACTCTAGGCAGATATTTGCAACCTCCTCAGCTCATGGGTGATGAGTTCAAATTCAAAAATCCACTTCAAAAACATGCTGCTAATATACAAACTCCTCCGGCTCAACAAAGTTCCTCAGCCTGCCAGGAGCCAGAAGGGGTTGTATTACTGAGTACTTGACATGCTTCTTATACTTGTTTTCCTAAACATTCATTATAAGCCAGTCAGAGGCAGGATCCTGAGCTAAAGGATCGTTGGCTTGACCTTTATGTAAAGGCCAGACTCAAAAGACAAGTTAAGTCAATGGAAATCTCAGGTTGACTTCAAAAGGGCTTTGCTCATGCTTCAAATCCCTTAGCATCAGCAGCAAACATGGAGGGAGAAGCATGTAGCACTACTGACCATACTTTGAGCTGGCCTACATACAATTGGAACCCGTCAGGAACAAAAAAAAGAAAGAGACCATGGGGTTGGCATTCAACTGGTTGGACATCTGAGAGATTGTTCCCATCAGTGCAACCAACATTCACTCACTTGTTGTCATGGAAACTGTGTTTGGCAGAGAGGTTGGAGCAGACAGATGGCGTGTCCTTGGTCCCTTTGCTGATAATCCGGGGTTTGCTGTCAAAGCAAATCTGAGAAGAGAAGAATTAGCATGCTGGGAGAACCTTATAGAGAAGTAAACCAGAACCACTTGGAAGGGGAAGAAGAACCAGAGCCAGCCTATTCTAATGTTCTAACTTTGAACAAGCCTGGTGAAAACTTCATGGTAGGACATTAGAATAAAGTAAGCAAACTTTTGGAAAAGCTTCAGGACAACATTTTTGGCTTATTTTCCACAGTATTTTCCACTGTGGTTGGAAACATTTTGGTCAGAGCCACATATTCTTTTCCAGTTGGACAACAGAGCAAGAACAAGGAGGAAATGAGGAGAAATAGAAGGGGAAAAAAAAAAAGAAAAAAAAAAAAATCACACAACAGTTACAGCTAAGAACATGTTTCTTCACATATTACAATGACAACTCAGGGAACTCTATGCTGCAGTGTGTCAAAGGGGTAAGAGCTAATTTCTAACTGACCAAGGCAGTCGCTCAATACAAAAAAAAAAACTCTTTGAAAGGGTAGATAATAGCAGGACAAAGGTAAATGGTTTTAAGTTGAGGGAGGGAAGATTTGGGTTGGATGTCAGGGGGAAGTTCTTCACTATGAGAGTGGTGAGGTGCTGGACCAGGCTGCCTAGAGAGGCTGTGGATGCCCTGTCCATCCCTGGAGGTGTTTGAGGCCAGATTGGATGGGGCCCTGGGCAACCCGGTCTAGTATGAAATGGGGAGGTTGGTGGCCCTGCCTATGGCAGGGGGGTTGGAGATTCGTGATCCTTGAGGTCCTTTTCCATTTTGTGATTCTGTGACATTCAGTGGAAAGTTGCTGCATTGTGGGATTCTGATTTTTAAAGCAGATGGATCCAAATTACACTTCAAAACAACACCTCAAGACAGAGGAAGAGGAAAGTGGTCCCATGTGACTGTGTGCACCTCAGGCAGCTTGATGGGTGAGGAAAACTACCTCACCCTCATCCTACATGGCTGCATCCATTGCTCACTGCCTTTCTGCATACAGGGCACTGGCTGGGACGTATGGTCCTGATCCACACAGAGGAGAAGCTGAAGGGGCCCACTCTCCCCCACCAGCTCTGTACCTCACAGAGGAAGGTGAAGATGCCTTGATGTTCCTTCAGGAGCTTGGCAATGGTAAGGTTGCTCTGCTTGATCCCACCTAGTGGGTCAAAGAGGAGGTCACGGTTGAGAGTCCCCTTCCTCTCCTCCGTCCACACGTCGATCTCTTCCTGGTGGTACGCGAAGGTGCAGTTATCCCCGTACTTACAGTCCTGCTTGTTAAGCATATCTACAAAGCAACAAACAGCACACACCACCACACAGGGAGGGCGGCCCAGTCAGAAACTAAGTTCTCTTTTGTCTCCTCCCACTGCCCACACCTCACAAGGAGCTGAAAGCAAGAAAACACAGAGTTAAAGAAAAGACATCTCCCTCCAAGTTTGCTTACACCAAGGCATTCAGAAAAGTTAATGCAAACTTCTAAGTAGTGACAATCTCAAGAAGATCTCAAGAAGATCACAATCTGCTGTGGAAACTGGAGACCTGCTATAATGCTATGCTTGGTCAGGGACAGACTGAAATTTAACTGACCCCTTTTAAAGCCAAACCAGATGAAGTTCTCCTAGCAGCCCACCACTGAGGAGCTCCACTATCTTGGAGCTCTCTCCCCCACCTCATTGGGTGCTTTCCAATGACACAGCCTCAGGGACCATTCCAGTCACATTAAATGTGACCCAAGGGATGGGTCAGAGCAAAGGAGCTTTTCCCTAGGCCAAGCCATGTGGCTGCTAGGTAGGTTCCCAGCAAAGCCTGCATTAGGGTAGCTCCAAGCCCTTGGCTGTGCACAGAGCCACACTATGCCTTTGCAACTCTTTTCCTGCTCCACCACTTTCTTCACTGCCCATTCTCCACAGCATGGGAGTTCATCTTCTTTGACTGCACTGGACCTTACAGGCTGTGGGCTACTGATGGGACAGGAAGACCTCAGGGACAGCAGGCAAGACCAATTGGAAGTCGTTTTCCAGACCCCCTGGCCCACACCTTACAACCCCTTCCCAGCCACCAACATCTCTATCCCCACCCCAGATCACCTTTGCACAGGTAATATGATCCTACAAAGTTGGTTTTGGTTGGGCGAGGACGGATCCTCTTCCAAGTCTTGTCTTCTGAGTTCTTCAGCCGGCCCAGCAGGATGTCTCGCTTGCATTTATGCTCCAAGCCTTCTCGATAGGTGTAATCACCAGCCTTGGGGCCTGCAGCGGAGACATCCATCAGCCTCTGTCCATCAGCCAGGAGAAAGGCAAAGCTTTATCATGGCCAATGCTGTGGGTGACAGAGGAAACACATCACCTGTTTTAGGGTAGCAGATGTGACAGGCTTGTTTGAAGACATGGGTGGATGCCAGAGGGTTCTTCACCAGCAAGGCTGTGTTGGGTATTACTGGTTCTGGCTGGGACAGCAGGTGCTCGGTGACTTTGGGCACAGCTGGGTGACTCACTCCTCCAAGGCTGACCTGTACAAAAACACACACACTTCTCTTCTAAGCTTTGCAGCCATATGGCTAAGAGAACTCTGTAACCTCACACCTCACTCCAGTCACTCAAAAAACTTCCTCATCTTCTTCCTCATCAAAACATTCAATTCTGAAATGACATTTCCTGAAAAGCTGCATGTAACTTTTTCAAAAATAACGCAGCGCGATATGATCACCGCAAGGACAGATCTCTTTCTCTCTTGGTAAGGGGCACCAGTTTTCTACCATGAGACAGAACAGAATGTCCACTCACTCATTCTCATTCCATCCATTACAACCAACTCTCAAATCAACCCCACCGCTACCTGGAAAAAAAAAAAAGGATCCACTTATCAGTGAGTCTTTGGAATTAATCTGAGGGCAAAGATTTTGTTCTATAGCTATGTAACAGGCACAGCAGGTGAACAGGAATCTAAGAAGAACAATTTGTATTCCAAATTTGCTAACCATCGGCATCCTTTTCACCCAGGACTGGAGACATTGGATAGGAACAGAGCAACCAGGAAAAGCTGTCTGACGGGGGAAAGAGGAGTAAAGAACTACACTACTCTTCAGAAAGCCTGGATTACTCTGATCCATAGTTAAGAGGCTGCAAGATACATTAGCACACTGGCCTCCTTGATCCCCCGTTGATCCTACAACCTAGGTCACACCAAGTTTACTTTGGCAATATGCAGAACTGCAGATAAAAACAAAGGCAGAACAAATGTCTTCCTCCTGACTCTGGGAAAATCCTTCCCCGCCTTGTCACAAGGTGGGAGGAAATGCTCACTGGGTCAGGTTAAAAAGAGGGGCCCAAATTACCTACTTCACCCACGTCACTACTACCTTGGCTCCAGAGCACCTTGGGACATCAGCATGGGGGAGCGGCTCACTCACCACGGGGGATGGTTTTTGGTTGCCAGGTGGATGTCGCAGTTCCTGAGGGCTGGTTTCTTCTGGGCCAAAGAAGGGAGAAAAAACAAAACCATTTCACTTTCAGAGGTAGTTCTGCTCACAGAAAGACAAACACATGCCAGCAAAATCACTTTGCTTTATTCGTAACATTTTATACCTAAATCCCCCATGTAAGTCTTGGAAAAGCTCCAGGAAAGGCCTTCATGTCCCCAGAACTATAGTGAACTCAACTCTGTGCCACTGAGCTCTGACATTTTTAAGGTGGCAGCTCTGGGGCAATCCAATCCTTAGGTAAATCAGCGTGTTGAAGTGCTGACTGGCCAATCTCTGTTCTTCAGAAAATATTTTTGCTAACCAAAATATACTGCATTAGAGCAGACAGCCTGAAGAAGAAGCCTGTCATCCCTCATGGGACAGGTGGAAACTTGCTTTTTGCCCACTGATCTCCACAGTTTGGCTCCTTATTATGTGAGAGTCCAGTACTCAAGGCAATGGGATGCTTACTGTTCTGAATCCAGAGATGGAAGGACCCACCTTGGCCTTTACCAGTTAGACCAGTGCAAAAATGTCCTATCTCATTTAAAAGTCACCAGAATTTTGCTCATTTGGCCCCAAATGTCCAACAGTCACTAGGGAAGGTGGAGGAAACATTTTATAGTCAAGTAAATTGTGCCAAGGGAGGTATCCTGGATACCAAGCCATAATTAGACCTCACTCGTCTTCATTAAACATCCTGTGTTCCTTTCTCCTCTGAGATTTCATAGCATTCACATGCTAGCTATCTGGAATTATGCACCTACAGCCCTCCTTATAACTCCTGAGCTAGACATACCCAGCTGCTCTGCTCAATACAATTGCCTGCCCTCTTCAACATTTGCATTCCCGTTCTGAAGCACTGACAAAGACAGCTAAAGGACAGACCTCAGCACTGAAGGAAACAGCCGTGGCAAGCACAGGAAAAGAAGAACAAAACCCTGTCAGCCCCACACCTACCGATGGCAAAGGAGTCCAAGGCATCCAGCGACCCTCTGCTTGTCCCAAAGGAATCCAGGGCATCGAGACGTGAGTCTGTGTAGGGGAGCAGGTCCAGGGAATCCAGGGAATCTAAGGTGGAGCCACCACTTCCCCCGGGTGGGGGCTCGAAGGCATCCAAGACAGAGGAAGAGGAGAGCTGTTTGGTGGGATCCATCACCAGGCCAAAGGAGGCAGGTGGCAGCGGGGTGGAGACAGGGATGCTAGCTGTCACAACTGGAGGAAGCAGCGGAGTTCCCCCTGGAAACACGGGGATCAGCTGGGGCATCTCTGTTGGCAGGTTGGTGGGAATGGTGCCCTGGACCAAAGACTTTGGAGATTGAGAAGGGAGAGGATAAGCAGCGTATTAGAAACAAGGAGAAGGGAGTGTCTGAACACAGACAGAGCCAACAGACTCCCACTCAAGCATGTGCTGCATTATCTGAAGCAGAAGGACACCCAGCAGCTCCATCCGCCTGCAGACCTCCCACAGACCTGCCCACCTGTCTGCAACACACGCAGTCTGGGTTGAGGTCCCTGAGGAGGTTTTGGGGCACCAGAGCTCATCAGCTCACAAAGCAGAGCCCTGCACTGGGCACCTGCACCAGTTCAGGTTGAGACCTAGCACAGCTGAATACACACAGCACCAAGGTTAGGGTAATGACCATTACTCTTGGCACCTCTCAGCAGAGCTTTTTGCCTCAAGTTCCTTCCTGCCCGAATGTGGTTATATTGCTTCCAGATCAAAGCTGACTCACACAACATCTGCACTACTGGCAACTAAAATCCAACATAAGCATCAATTTGATTGTTTCTACAACATGGAGACCTGTGCAAAGAGCTCTGGCTGAATGCAGCCAGCAAATCACTGTGTAAAATACATCCACTGCACATGTTTCAACTCACTCATGTCTACCCTCAGGCCTGATTCAAATCCACAAACACCAGAGGCCAGGGAGAAGACTGTGTTAGGGGGAGGCCACTGAGGGTCAGCTGCATAAAGCTGCACACAGCAAAGCAGGCTTAAAGAGGAGCTCTTTAGATACTCACAAGCCAGTTGCAGAAACAAGCAAAAGAATGAATGAGTTTTGCTAGAGGAAGAGCTAGGAGGAAGAAGTGACAGAAAGAGAAGCAGTATACATATCTGTAGGCTCTAAGGATCTATTTGGATCAAGCGGCAAGGGAATTATGCAATGTCCACTCTTACTAGAGGGTACGGTGAACCCTCAGCGAGGGAATCCAGGAGGGAGTCCAGTTCTTCCCCAATTATGTCCCCATCTGTGAAGTCCTCCACACTGTCAGGCACTGGCAGAGACACGGACTCTGGAGATGGGAGCAGGCTAGCAGCAGGGAGCGAGCTAGGCAGGCCCTTTGCATCTGAATCTGAGTGCAAAGGGGACAGCCCCTCGCTCACGGGGATGGGGGTGGCCACAGGAGCTGGCAGGCACTGCAGGTCCATAGAGCAGTCTGTGATGGAGAAGAAACAGAGACAGTCAGTCACCCAGGAGGGTGCAAGCAAAGCACAGCCTGGCAAAACCATTACATCAAATCACAAACACCAAGTATGTCCTGTTCTCAGAGAGGAGGGGCTCTGGTCTGCTCTTACTCTTTAATATTTGCTCTCAGTCTCCAATGGCTCACTGATGGCTGAAATATACCCTACAGGCCAGTGCACAGACTGGCTGTCAGGGTGTATCAAGCAGTAACCAGGACACCACAAAGCTGCTGGTTGACCAGCTACTGAATTTGCTGTGTCTGGGACAGAAGGCCAAGGGCACATAATCTGATTCCTGTAGAACCCACCACCTGGTGTTTTCTTTAATGTTCCTCACCAAGGCACTTTGCAGAGACCACTGCCTTCTCTGCTCCTCGGAGCTCTGTCACCCCAGAGACTTGCTTATTCACACAATCTCTCTAAACCGTCAGGCATCCTGGATGGCAAAAGATAAAACCACAGGGTCCTGCTGGGACAAGCCAGAGATCTGAAGCTCACATCACATTGTGTTAAAAATGTGTCCCTTAAAGTCCTATCAGACTCACTCAGCTGTATTTACTCAAGAAAATTCCCTGCTCTTCTATGCTTCCTGATATCTGCAGGTGGGACGATGCTCCCCACACTCTCCCCAAAACACCTCAGCACCAAACATCCCCTTAGAAACTTGTGTGCATAAGTGTTGGGGCAGGAAAGAGGCAGGGATTTTTCCTAAGGTTTCCTTACTGCTCTGGTACCCTATTGAAAAGGTAATGTGTTCCCATCACGCAAAATAAACCTCTGTTAAGTGAAGTTAAAGAATACGTGCTTGTAACCTTACAGAAGAGCAATATATTCTCCAGAAAAAAAATAAAAATAAAAATTAAAGGTTAAAAAAAAAAAGTTCAAATGTTAGAAATTCAGGAAATGAAGTAATACATTTGCAGCTCTCAAACCAAGCACCCAAACTACCTTAATTCTGCCCCTGTGCAGATGTCCTGCAATAAAAGAAATCAGAAAAAGGTGCTGCCACCTCCATCCATACAGCAGTGGCTGCACTGTACCTATCATGGTCTGAAGCTATAAGCAAGGGAAAGTTTGGAGGGAATGACAACAGCTTTCATTAGAAGGACTGATAAGCAAGGAAAGAAACTTGACAAGTTTCTGAAGATCCCACCCCTGCCCACTGCTACCTTTCCTTCTGGAGTTGGGAGCAGCAGGACAGCAGCTGAGGTTGCTGTACAAAGCACCACAGGCCAAGCAATGACAAAGGAATGGCGAGGGGGGAATAGCAAGATACTGGTCCCTCTCCACAAAACTCATTCATGCGATTAAAGGACAGCACATGTACTTGATGGGCTCCACCACACTTTTTCAGCATTGCAGCTGGACTCAGCCACCACAGGCAGTGGAGTGGTTCAAAGGAAGGCTGTAAATGCCCTCGGTTACACAGGAAAAGCTGTTCCTCAGATCAGGCCTGGCTCCAACCCCCATGCTTCCTTTGCGAAGGATTCTCTCAGTTCAGTTCCCTTTGGTGCAGACCCTCCAGCCATGCTTGGGAGCCAGCCATTCAGCTTTCCTTTGGTGCTGTCCTCATTGCTGGTAGTGCAGCCAGATTTCCCTCAGCACAAAGGGACAGCTTGTCCCTTCCCATTTTTCAGATGTTTTAATCTGGAGTACTGTCAAGATCCCTGTGAAGGCCAACAAGAAGTTCAGGACATGCCGTAGGGGCCAGGGACACATGCAGGGGGGAGTAAAAGGGTTCACAATGATACAGCCTCAAGGGATTTACAAGTTCAGACCTTCTCCAAGAGGGAAATGCCCTCATATGTCCTAACAGATCCCAAACTCTGAAAAACTGAATATGCAATCAAAAGGCAGAGACAGATAAGGGCTGTCCCACAGATTGGTACGGGTTAATGGGAAGAAGAGCAAGGAACCAAGAGATCCCACGCAGAAAAGCAGAAAAAATGTCTGCTCCTCTCTCTCTGACTACCCAAACCCTCTCCTCCTTCTGGCTCCTCGCTCCCATTCCATTCCATCCTATCTCTTCCCTTCCCTCTCCTTTCCCCACGACACTCCCATCCACTGAGTTTCCTCACCAATCACCATGTCCATATCCACTCTCTGCCTAGAAAGCTCATGCACTCCCTGTGCCCACTTTAACATTTGCCCCAACTTTAAAAAACAAAAACTATAAACCTTCCTTGATGAACAGAGCACACGTACCCCCTGCCTTCCTGTGCCACTGCTCCAACACTACTAAGCCACATGTATTATTATGAGTTTATTGAGAGTCTTGTCCATTCCTTTCCCTGAGCTTCTACCAAAACTAGCAGAATATGTTCCCCACTTGGGAGCTTCCCTGGGCATTGCCTGTCCCAGAGAGGTGAAGAGAGTTCTTTTAAGAGCCCTGTTTCTCATTCTGCATCCCAAAAAGCAGTTGCTCCTCCATGCATCAATTGGCCAAAGGCAATACTGAGCCACATCTGAGCCATGAGATATACAGGACAGGGCTGAGTTAATCAGTTGACTTCAAGGAGGGAGGGCTGTCAGGAGTTTGCATCTAAAAAAAAAAAAAAAAAAAAACAAAAAACAAAAAACCAGAAACCCAACCCTCCCCCCCAAAAAGAACCAGAACAACACAAAACCACCCCAAAATAACACCAACAAAACCCCCTAACAGCCTTGTGGGTTTCACTCGAGGCACCTGGCACTCACAGCTCTCCTAATGGCACGCCAATCTCAGGGCAATGGAGAACACATCATTTCAGTGATTTTGAAAAGATCTAGCAGAAAATGTTCTCTCTGCCTGAGCTGCAGCAAAGCTGGCATGCTGCTTCTGCACCAAGCCCTGACGAGACAAAGAGCCTCCTGGTTGCAGCCACTCTTCACTCTGCAGTGAGAGCCCAGCTCATCTCAGCACAGCAAATAACTGAAAAACTCTCCATGTTTTGAGGAACTGGGTCTCATGCCTGCACGCAGCATTCTGAACCAGAATTCAACAGGGAACTAACAAAATAGACACCAGAGCACCCTGATTATAGAAAGACACTAATTTCATAAAAAGAGCGATAGCTATCTGCAGCATTAAGCCTGCACACTTAGTGCTGCAGCTACTTTTCAAAGGAACAGAGACTGAAACGTTCAGAGGCCAGCACACAACAAAGGGCAAAGCATGCAGCCAGCCTTCCTACAGGGGAAGAGTTAAGGTCACTTGATTCTCAGCATGAGAAAAGCAACCCTGTGGCCCTCACTCTGCTCCTCCTCTGTGCCTAAGGCAGCACAAGGCTCTCCCTGGGTCCTTCCCAACCCCCTATTTTGAACTCCTCCACCTCAGTGTCCTGGAGGACAACACGTGCTTGGTGCACAGACAGTTGCCTACAACCTTAACTTTATCTAGACTGTTTTGTCTGGGAGTAACAGAAGAATCTCAGAAGCTGCGCCAAGGTCAACGTTAAGAAAACAGAACTGAAGGAAGCTGTGTACATCAGCACACCCTTCTAATTCCTGGAGATGTCCCTTGCTGGGCCTGGACAAGAAGCACAAGAAGTTTTTCTGAATGAGGTACTAATAAGCAAATAACTGCTCAGCCTCTTTTGCCCTTCATGACAGTGCCTCAATAACTGACTGCAATATGGAAGATAATGGGGGAGAACTAGTTAAGGTAACAGTCCCATATGCTCCTGCTTCCCATCATCTTTTCTTCCTCCTAGGTATCAAAGTCAGGAGCACACAGAGAGACACAAATGCAGACCACAAACCTCTCAGGCCTGCCAGCCTGGTCAGGTACCACATTGACACCACAAAAATCAGAGAAGAGAAATATCTTTACCTGTTTCGATATCATCAATCGACCCCAAACCATTGGAAGTGGTCTTCAGAGGGCAAAGGAAAGAACAGAGAAATTATCACCAGAACTTAATCTTCGAAAAAGATATTCTCAATTCACAGAGTAGACCTTCTATTACTCCTAAACACATCAGGCTCTTTATTTTTCTTTATTGCAAGTGCAAGAACACTTCAGTGCAAGAACAGTAAAACCACAAAACTTTAAGAGTGCATTCATCCAAAACCTATGCACTTTCACCTCCAGCAGTGGACAAGCTTTGTTGCTGCAAAGGAATACCAACTCTGCATAATGCCCAACCACGTGAGCAAATCTGTATATAGAATTGGGTTTTTTCCTGTGTGGGTGAGAAAGAATACTGTGTCCCAAGTCCCAGCACAAACCAGTCAGTCAGCCCTGTGCAGAGAGATCTGATTAGCCTGGTCTGACACAATGTTCCTTCTCTTAGTTCACTTTGCAATCTAATAACCACAAACTTTTACAGCAAACTCAAAACAGGAAAAGGTTTCCACAAAGACAACTGCTGACACAAAGCTTCAGGCAAGGAATAAAATAAGCCCCAAATTTTAGAGTAACGTAAACAGATGCAAGTATGCGTGCTTTAAGTTTAAACTTACAAAGGCACAAGTAAAGCACTGCTTTCTAGATACTGCATCTACTGCAATAGTTTACACAATTTCTGATCTTTGCAATATTTCAATTTCTTCAAGGTTTACAAATGAAAAACTAGGCACAACTATGCAAGAAAACTGACTCACTCTCCTAGAAAGATGTGAAGGCAAGTCTCTGCACACTGGCAGGTAAACTGGTTCTTTAGAATCCCACCCTGTCAAACAAAATGTCAATTGCTATGGTTTTATACTTCGCTTGCTTTAAGGAGTAATGTGAAATACCAGACAGCCTGTAAAAACATCAAGGCTTTTGTCAGCTGGTGGTGGAACAAAGAACTCAGCAATTTCTTATATTGTGGTTCAATATTTGTGCAGAGCTCTGCTCAAGGATCTCCCAGGTCAAAGGACAATACAAAGAATAACAAACTGTGCATGTACCTTGCTCACTTCTGGACAACAGCACTACACTGCTTGATTTGACCTCTATTTCCTCAGCATCTGCATTTCCTGATCTTTACTTAGTGTAGTCCTAACTATGTAAGAACCTGAAAACTGAAACTTATTTAAAATACAAAAGAAGAAAACCATTCACAATAACCATGAAAAATAACCATTGCCACTGATCTGTTGACAGTAAAAATGCTTTTACCAGAAATATTTTCAAAGAAATAAATTTCTTTAACAATATTCCTTATAAAGGTTGTCCTGGTTTTGGCTGGGACAGTGTTGATTTCCTTCTTAGTAGCTTGCTCTAGTGCTGTGTTTTAGATTTAGGATGAGAATAATGCTGACAACACATTGATGTTTCACTGGTTGCCAAGCAGTGCTTTCACTAATCAAAGACTTTTCAGCTCCTTGTACTACGCCACCAGCAAGAAGCAGCTGGCATGGGACAGAACCAGGAGAGGACACAAACTGGCCAAAGGGATATCTCATACCATGTGGTATCATGCTGGTATCATGCATGATATGATGCATGGTATCATACCACCATGTGGTATCATGACCAGTGAAACTGGGAGGAGGTGACATGAGGGGCTGCAGCTGCTTTCGGGACAGGCTGAGCATCACTCAGTGGTGAGTAATTGCATCATGCATCACTTGCTTTTTATATTCTTTTATCACTATTATTATTTTCACCTCCTTTTTCTGTTCCATTATACTGTCTGTCTCAGTCCACAAGTTTTTACCCTTTTTTCCAGTTCTCCTCCTGATCCTACTGGTAGAAGGAGTGAGAGAAGAGCTACGGATGCTTAGCTGCCAGTGGAGGTAAACCACGACAAAGGGGAATACACTAATTAGTATATTTAAATTCTAAAAGACAGCTATCAATGCATATGTAAATAAAGCTCAGAAACATTCCAGTAGCAATCCATCAACATTAATAACTAGAGGATGCCAACTGTACCTGATTTGACAAATTGATGGACGTGCCGTTACTGAGTAGAGAGAATGTTTCCAATTCCTGCTGCAAGAAGAGAGATGTCTTAGAACAGAGACAGCCCATAAACACTTGTAAAATTGGTAAAGCTGGAGTATGATACAGTTTTTCTTTCAGGCACTGTCTAGAAATAAAAGCTAGCCCAAAAGCATAACTCCGTGACACAAAGGTAGTTTTATGAACGCTGGCAGGGCCACACATTTATTATGGACACCTCAGTGTCACCTCAGTATTTACTAAACACCTAACATACAATGCATGGTCAGGAAGCTAACATTATTCCTAAAAACCAAACTTTTTTGCCTTTTCATTAAAACATCACTGGTTCCCATTTTTTGGGAAGGCATTGCAGCACCGGAATGAAAGTTGTAAGTCAACACAAAAGACAGCAAGGTGTTATCAAAATACCAATCACTACACATCAAGCAATAAAAAGCATTTTGTCTTTTATAGTCTTTGTTTTTCCAGCACATCAGAATGGTTTAAGCCCATCAGAGTTCAGTAATGTGACAACAGCAAAAAACGTGGCTGGGCCAATGAACACAATGAGCAGCTACAAAAAGTATTTTCCAAGTAAAACTCCCTTTTCTTTGAGACAGAATCATTTCAGAGTGCTGAGAGTTGCTACAGCATCGAGGGGTTTTGGGTGGATCAATCACATCAGTTTTGTCACTGAGTGGAACATGACATCAGAGCCACACTTTTCCCAAAAGCTCTCTGCAGATTGAATGCCCAGGAACCACGTCACTAAATACTGTAAAGGTTTCCTGGAGGTGCCCAACACACTGCTGTGCAGGGGGCTGAGGATGCTTGGCAGAGCTGGCTCAGTGAAGCACACTGACAGTCATCGTGTGAACATTCAGTGACACAAGCTAGCGCTGCTTACTCCTGAAAATGCACCCCATGATTTCACAACACCAAAGCAGATTTATCCAAGAGGGCCAGCAGTGGCCTAACGCCCTCTAGCTCCATCCCAGAGTATACATTTCTATACCTACACAGTACACTGTACTACAGCACTTTCTTTCAAAGCCAGGTCTAGCCACTGGGGTCCATTAACTGGACCAACAGCTTAATTTTCACTGCTTTCTTTCCTAGCATCTGACCAGATGTGTATCAGCCACATTCCTGTTACAGGAGAAGGAATGTGAATCAAAATTTCCTTTGGGATCAGGCCACATGTTCCTCTCTTCATAGAGGTGCAGGCTCCCACCACATTAAAGCCTTCTCCTGCAGCACCAGTCTGACTTTGCTGGAGATGCAGGAAACGTCCTGGAGAAGACCCAGGGCAGCAGTGGGGTCAGAAACAGGCAAAGGCGAGTCAGAGAGGCAGGATAAGGAGGGGAGCCAGTGGCCTGCTGGGGGGATTGCAGGGTAATACACCTGTGTCTATAGTGCACCTGCCACTTTTGCAGAAGTAAATCTGAAAGAGCCAAAGGATAGTCTCCAGGAAAAAAAGAAAATAAAGAAGTCATACCTGAGGCCTTTTATATGCTTTTCGAACCCTCAGTCCCAGCTTCTGTGCAAGCTCCTGTCCCAGCTGCGTGACGCTCTCATCCTGGGGACAAAAGCATTGGAAGGACACTTTCAGCTTTGTGTCTTTGTGGCAGACAAAACAAACAGGAATGCAGCTGTCCGTGCAGCCGTGCCAAAAAAAAGCTTCACTTGTAGATAGCAGCAGAGCAACCCTAGCAGAGGCCATGCAAACCAGAATGTTCCTATCATTCCTGCTGAGGTTCTGAGGTTGCTCCGTTCTCTCCAGTTCTGCCTGGACTGACCTGCCACAAACCTCTTCACTTATTTATCATCAGCAACTCCTTCCTTGCGCTTTCCTCCCTTTTCCTGCTGGCAAAAATACTGGCATCCTTTAACAGTTTCTTCAAAGGAAAACAACATGCTTGCCCAATCTATTGCAATATACCTCCTTAATGCTACCATATGTCCTTTATCTATAACCCTGAAGCTTGTTCTTTTCTCTCTGCTTACCACATAACTCTGATCTTCCCAATTTTCTTCTCTCTGCAGGTTCATTTTTTTCCCCTTCAGCCCCTCACCAGCCTGTGGGTCTTCCATCCCACTGTATCAGTAACTTTTCCCCTCAATCTGAAATGCCACCTTTTGACTGAACTTCTTTCCCCACATCCTCAACACTGGTTTGGTCTGAAGTCAGTGAAGAAAAAAATCCAATTTACCCATGTCCTCTTCTCTCTCCATCTTATATCTCTTCAGGATGTACCTTCCTCTCCTGAAACTGCTCCATATTCTCCAGAGATCTCTCGGTCAGTTCTTATGGTTGCCTCCCCCTACTCCATCCCTTCCAACTCTCAGAACTGTCTGACATAACCATCACTCTGCCTTTTTAAATACTTTTTAATATTTTACCCCAATCATGTTTTCAATGCTCTTTGTCTCTGGTTCCTCTGCCTTTCTAAACACTCTTGCAGGTACCTTCTGACACCTCCTGCATCATTTCTTTTCATTGATCTTACAATACCTACCAGGCTCATCCTATACAATTCCACATGTCATCACGACTCTAAGATGTCCTCTCTGATGCTTGGACAAGATCAAGAATATTTTTCTCTAGGCTGCTTTCATTTCCCAACAACATGATTTAATTTTTAACAAGCAGGCCTGAGGTTTGGGACTGGGAGCTTACTCACTCTTTGTCATTTTGAGAATTCTTCTTTAGCCTGCCTTTTCCTCAGGTGCTTACTGTCCCCCCCTTATTGAGCAAGGGGATGCTCAATAAGGGCATGCAAAATGCCCTCTTCCAATATCCTAAAAAACCACCCTTTGTGCCATCCTAAAAGCAGACAAAAGAGAAGCACCAGCCTCACCATGCTGGGAATCTCTGCAAACTATCAGCACTGAATATCTGCACCCGGTTAAGCTAACTCTGCTAGACAGTGAGTCAAGTGAGTGGCACTCCTTCATCACTGCAAGTTTTAATATACGAGCTGCTTCTCAGCTGTTACAGCAACACAAACTGGAAGCACCTCATTGTTCCAGAGGCCCAGCAACTGGTGTAGTTGAAACAGAACTGAGATGATGGATAGTCTGATTTGACTTTGATGCGGAGAAGACTTGTGATTTCTGTTAATCAGATAATAAGGCAATGGCATGCTTTAATTTACAAGACTGAATTGTTCAGAGCCAGGAATGCAGATGTCTTGATAATGAATTTGTAAAGTTGAGCTATCCTGACCCAGAAAAGCTAGATAAAATGTCTGCAGACCACCAAGACCTTTAATATTTCAGCCACATATAAAAGTGGCTGAACTACATTGTGAGATGCAGCCACGTACAGTTTTACGTGAACAGATGTATTAGGCAGTTTTGTTTTTGTTTACAAAAGGATTTAAGAAATAGGTCTTTAAAACTCCCCTAACATAATACTTTCAGTGTGTTTTGGTCACCTTGTTCTGTCAAGTAAACTGAATACAAAAGAGGCAACAAACTGCTAACACGACTCTGCTTTATAAAATTGCTTCTGCAATTCTAATAAGAAAAAAAAAACACCAACTTCTGCTGAAGTAGTTGCCTTTTTTTTTTTTTCCCTAACAGCATTACTGTGATGGATCAGAACTAAATTTAGCAAAGATGACCAGCACTCACTGGGATGTAATCAGAGTCTGCTTACTTGTTCAATATCTGGCCTAAAAGAAAGCTCAATAAAAGCATTGTTAAGAAAATACATAGGGCCTAGCATATGTGAATAGTCCCCTCTAAGTAAAAAAATTTACACACCTGTGAACATAACTGATCATCAAGGACCCCTCCACATATCCCTCAGAAACAAAAACACTTTATCAGCTTGCCTTAGTAATTATTAACTAAAACATCAGACATTTTTATCTAAAACAGGAAAAACATGTATGTTTCCCCACAGGGCTCCAGTCTGCATTTGTGCCATGCTCACAGTCACTCTCATTAGGCATATAAAAAGGGCTAATTAAAGCACCTTCATGGCTTTAGTTCACCTTCTGTTAGGGCAACTTTTTGCACTTTGTGAATAGGCCAGCAAACCTTCTGCCATTAGCCAGTGTCTCTGGCTGGTACTGTGTGCAGATTGTGACTTGGACAGAAGAAACAAGAGCATTCAAAGATCCTCTGTGAGTTGAGAGAGGGAGAAGAATCCTGGACATAAGCATGTCACCAAGTATAGCCAACTTCCCTTCCTCCTCAGGCTAAATATTAAGTGATGAAAGAGCAACTTGGTGAGCCCCAGAAATCAAGATAAGCTGTATGTCAAAAACTTACATGGGGGAGGGAGAGCAGACAACGGCTATTACACTCATACGCCTCTTTGTGTCTTCCAAGTTCATTTAGAGAGCGAGCTTTGCGGAAGAGCGCTCGGATGTTCTCCTTGTCAAGACCTAAAGCCTTTTCACTGTCTTCCAGAGCCTTCTCGTACAACCCCTGCGTGGAAGAAACCACCAAAAGTCAGCACAGCAGACAAGCCCTTCTCTGTGTGAATCCATGTTTTGTATCCCTCAGCAGAAATACAAAAGCATGGAAAAGACAGTTGGAAATGCACTCATTGCGTTTTGTTAATTCTGGTGAAATGCAGAACACTTTAAACTTAGTGAACAGCACGATTTGGGCTGCTTGAAGAACCTTATATTGCTTCCCCTTCTACCATGAACATGTTACATTTGACAATCTTTAATTATGTGACCACCTTTTTCATAGGACTTAGCCTCATTATGAACAGGATGGACCTGCTTTGGGGCTCTGCCATAAAAGTAGGCTGTTGCATTCCTGAAGAAAATGGAAGAGAACAGCTTTTTAGAGCCTTATTATTTCAGAATCATTTTCCATATGCGTTCTGAATGCTCTGCCATGATTCAAAGCTTTCTCACTGTCTTCCAGTCTCACAGATGCAGGGAGGCAGGCAAACTTCCAGAGCAATATTCAGAGTCAGTACAGGAAGGTACTGGCTCTTTACAACTGCATTTGCAGAGTGCATTAACTCCTCAACACGGACCTGAACTGCCTTCTTAGTACCTTAGGGCTGGCCAACAAAAGCGGGACCCCATTCCTTTACATCATTCCTCTGGCTTTGCAAGACACAATGTGATAGTGAGGAGGTATCCAAGTTCTCTGTATGTCACCATTTCCTTCTGTGCTGGGGGCTGAATACCCTCCTGACATGTTTTCCAACTGCATGACACCCAAAGCAATCCAGCTGTCCTTCCTGACTCCTGGGGATGCCTTGGGAAGGCACTCACCATGGCGAAGTAGCAGGCAGCTCGGTTGACATGCAGCTTGCACAGGAGTTCCTTTGGGATGGTCACCTCATCAGAGGCTGCATAATCTGCCACGTTCAGCCCTTCTACATACTGTACCAGCGACAGCTTGAAATCCTTCTCTCGAAACAAATCATTGCCCTCTGCAAACAAGTTTCTCACCAGCTTCTGCAAGACAGCCTGGACAGCAGGAACAGAGCAAACAGACTGAAATGGATACACGGAAACAGAAGCAGTTTCCCAATTTCCCATTCCTTCCCATGTTTCAGCAACCTGTTCGCCCACCACAATTCTTCCACATCCCCACTCTCCTATAAAGCATGAGTCTTTTGGTGGAGAAGAATAATCCAGTCAAATTTCCTCCCTTCTTGAACCCTCAAGTGTTTTCTCCTTCCACTGAAAGTTTTCCTTGCCAGAATTCTTAAAGCTTGAGATTTTAGACAAACTGTGACAGACCATCCCTACGCTCCACTCTTGCTCTCTACTTCTTGTTTGGCTGTGTAACAGAACAAATCTTGTTAACCTCAGGGTTCCCAACTTCAGAAAAAAAAAAAAAAACATCTTGTAATTACCTCATAATCTTCTTGGCTTAAAGGTAACGTAGACCTGAAAAAAAAAAGAAGAGAAAGAAGAGAAAGTGTTCGTGATTCAAGCATCCATGTAAAATCTCGCTTTTGTCTGATGAAGAAAACCATCTTTTTGGTCCTGTTTTGATTATCTCAGTGATTTACTGAATGCTTTATCACTTAAAAGACAGCTGGAGTGAAGAGAACACAATTAGGGAACATTATGCTCAGTGACGGACCCAGTGACGTCAAGAGATGATTAGGTCCCAAAGGTATTTGAGACATGAGGAATCTTATTCTCAGCTATTTTCTGTGCATATCTGATATTTTGTCACGTGCCCTCAGACAGCCACCTGTAAAGAAACATTTCTGAGAAAATCTCATGAGAGGTTGTCATGGAAAATGGGAGCACAAATGCACCTAGCCCTGATGAGAGGCAACAGATTGGTCACTTCAAGACCTCCTCAAATCCTCTGTGCAGTCACAGAAAAGACAATGATAAACACAGTCACTTTCCTCCCCGTTACCTCAGCCACAATGAAAGGAGAAAACAATGGAGGTGCAAGAAGCCATTCAATTCTTGCTGCCTTGGCCAAGACTGCCAGGCTGTGCCCTAGAACTGGCCGTGCTTGTGTGGGCTACACCTGTCCCACAACAGCCTGGAGACACAGGCAAAAGGCTCTGTTCTTCAAATCAGAGCACCTGTTTGCTCCACGTATATTATTTCTCCCAGAGACAACACAAAGTTTTCAAGAAATCCTTAGCAATCTTCATGCCCCTCCTCACCTTTGAAATACAGCATTATATAGATGGCCTTACTGATCAGAAAATAAATTTTTTAAAATTTCATCAGTACAAATCCTTAAAATTAACTACAGGAAATGTAATGGCTTTGTAAGAAACATTCACACTCTTATAAAGTTGGACTACCCCAAAACAAGCCAATGAATAACACTTTCCCTGGTTCAGAGCTCAAGACACATTCAAGAAACACAGACAACATCCTGCTTTTCCAAATTATTTAATTTATGGGAACCTTACATGTTTTTATAAACATTACTGAAACAAACCTCACAGCTTTCTGTCTGAGAGTGGTTACCAGCCTCACATAATTTCCAACTGGGGTAAAAATACAATGGCCATGCCAAGGGATGTCAGTATATAACTTGGAAGAGCTGGCTTTTTTCTCTACCGTGGATGGACAGATTTCATAATAACTGCAGGATTCAAAGCACGCCTTAAGAAAATAAATCTTATTCTAATCTTATTTCTTCCCTACTCATCATGCAACTTGGACCTTAAGGCTTTTGCCAACACAACCACTGGAGGCAAAAGCACGACCACACTTCATAAGGAAGTGCTTGAACTTGTAGCTACCATACAGGAAATCACCACAAGCTCTAGGCAGCCACAAAATATTTGCAGAAGAGTGACTGGAGGCAATGACCAGGCTGGCAACTGCAACAGAGCCCAGGTCATCTCTTTCTGGTAACAGCAGTGTACAAGGCACCTGGTTTTTACCCTCCTTTCCTCACTGACGTAATAGGAATACTTCTTCCTAAGAAAGGTGAATAGAAAGAACTTGATTCTTACAATCCTTGATACAAAGATAACCACCTCCCAAGCCACAGGAAGCAATGAGTCCACTTACTGAATTAATTGAAGTCCTTTCTCTATTTCTTGTTTTCTCTTCTGTCTCTCCATTACAATTGCTGCAGAAGAATAAAGAAAAAAAATAGAAAAGAAATGAGTCATTACAGGTCTTGCTGGCAGTTAAGCAGCACAGTATTTTGTGTGTGCTTCAACTTACTACTAACAAAATGTACCAGCCCAAACGCACAGAACACTGAAGCCCATGATTTATCCACACTGCAGACAAAGGACAGCAAGCAGCTCACTACCCAGTATCTGCTTTTTCTCACATGCCACTGCCAGGATACACAGGCAAAGAGGAACTGCTTCAATTTGAGCTCGCTGCTTAGACTGCCAATAAACAAAGCAATGGGAACCAACTGCAATCCTGACTGCCTTCTAGGAAAGAGAGAAAAAAATAAACACTTCCCCCGCACTGGCAGAGATTTCAAGAATTTGCACATGGACCCTTCCATGATAAGCAATTCTGACCACTGGGCCAGACTCAAACTGGTTTATAACAGCCTTGCATACCAAATAAGTAATTTATGTGGGGCATCTGGAATCACATCACAGTGAGGCACTGGGAAGGAGGTGGAATCTCTTGCTGTGGTACACATAAAAAGACAGTAAGGGACTTCAGCAATGGATATTTTGTGCTGAAAATCAGTTGACAAGTGCACAAGTGCAGCAGAAACTTGGGAATGCTTGTTGGGAGCAGTAAGAAGGCTCCAGGATGCTTCACGGAGAGGGGACCCCCCCCATTCTGCAATGCTTTGAACTGCAGCCTCAGGAGGACTCGGCTATATAATCAATAGATATCAAGATGTTATAATCACAATATAATCAAGAGAGTTAGGCAAAGTAGACAACAATAACAAAAAGAGAATAAGTGGAAGAGCTTACCCTTCGGCTAGGCTCACCACAAAACACCAAGAGAGGTGATCTCCAGAAGAGATCCTTCCCCTCTGGTAGCCAGCTCTTAAATAGGTCTAGGAGGAGTGCAGCCTGGCTCCACCCCTTCCAGCAGCACAGGTGAATTGCCTTCAGCTGTGCTCCTCTGGCTGACTCATGGCTCACCTCAGGTGATCAATCAGAGGTTCAGGCCGTGACCCAGCACTTCCCATACACTCGGCGGAACGTTTTCCCATAGGTATGCACACAGATGGACAAAGACAGCAAGCTCAGAAACACTGAAATGAGATGGAACTGAAGACAACATGCATGCACAGCTTAGGATTGCCTCTGAAAAGATTAGGATAAAAACAAAAGTCATTTTTCTTGGAGAGCATTACCACCTGGCTCCCTTTCATATTACAGATGCCTTTGTATCTAACGTATCTTATGGTACCTGCAGCACGATCAGCCCAGAACACTGTGAAGGAACCTTTAAGGTACATGAAAATCAATCCTGGCAGCTAAGCAAGCCCTTATTGATTATGCTCTGCACTATGCAAAGTGCAGAATGGCTGATACTTGCCCTTTACCAGGAAGGACAGTTAGGCAAAAAAAGATAAAGATGAGATAAAGACCAAGAAGCAAAGGCAGCAGAAGTAAGCAAGGGCTTGAAAGTGATACAGTGTTGTTTGTAAGTCATCAGACATTAAATATGAGAGCAATCTGGTCCAAACAGCAGGCAGAAGATTTCAAGCGGCTGTATGTGGAATGGGATGGGCAGCACAGCAAGCAAGGGAAAGCCAGAATGCCAGCAGATGACTGATGATCAGTGTCTCTATAAAGGCTTTTAACGGAAGCAATGGAGAAGAGCTGGTAGACCTCAGCACACCACCGCCAGAAGGCCTGGAATGGTTTATAAATAACCTGGATAATGAGCAATCAGGAAGAGAGAAATTTAACAAGGAGACTGCGAGGTTAATATGAACACAGAAGCTACAAGCAGACAGGTTTGAATGGTAGAAAATAAGACAGTCATCTCATTCAGTATTTCTCCTCACACAAAACTGAAAAGAGAGAAGAGAGAACAGACAAGATGAGGAGAAGTAGGAGCTATGTGCACACAGACAGCAGTGAGAGCTGGGGAAAAAAGTCAGGCTTGTCCTCCTTGGAGAACTCTTGCTCTTGCTGCTCCTCATCACAAGCCACGCTGGAGAAAACAAAAAGAACAGAAGGAAAGTTGCGGTCCACAGACCTGATGGTGACTTCTTATTGGTGACTGTGGGAAGTGGACACTGTTCATCACAAAGTCAATGGCTGCACTCCAAAAGCACTGTGGCACATCTTCACAGTTGTGTATATCCACACAACTGATACATCACCTTAAAAAGCTTCTGATACACACAGCGTGCTTCAACTCCACTACTGAGCTCAGCCCTTTTCTCAAAATACTACTGCAAGGAGCGAGGAAGAGAAGATCAGTACCACTTCTGATGGCTACTCTGATCCACTGCTGACCATCTTCCACAGCAAGATATTGGCACGTGTTACAACCAGAACTGGTCACTGCTGCTTGTCCACAGAGTGGCATTCAAACACTGCTGATGAAAAGGTGGAGTGGGGCCAAAGGCCTGCAAGAAAAGGCTCTAAAACATCTTTTTCTCACAGTTAACCAACTCCTCTTGCATCCTGGAGTTCCCCTTGTTTTTAATCTCCTCATGGCCATCAGATCCAGCATACCCCTTTCCTCCCTTGCTTCACTTAGATGGCTTGATCATCTTTACATCCCACAATACCCTGTTATAGATTTGATCCTCGATAAAAACTCTCATAAAAAAAACTTCTGTACCCTGCACACTGTTTCTTCTCAGCAGTCCAAGCCTCATCTTCTACAGCTAGTGCTTCCCAACACAAGACTCTTCATTGGCTTCTTTAGACACAGACCACAGGTTCAATTGCCCCTCTACAGTATTGTTCTCTGGTGCTGCCCCACATTCCTCTTTCCTTATAGGTTGGTAATCAGCCTCCTCTGCTAGCACTCCTTCACACCTTCACATTTATGTCATAATTTCACACGTAAGACTCATCTTCTCATGGCAACACCCTCAAAATGCACACCACATGCCGCTGCCCCAACAACCTATTTTATCTCTCTTAGGAACAACCATCTTTCCTATTTGATCGGACTCCACAGCAGCACCTTCCTCCACGTGTTCTCTTCTTCCCTCTAGCATGCTCCACCACTACTGCAGGTTCCTCTTGCCCTTTCATGCCCCCCCGTTGCATTCCCGTCAAACTCAGCCTCTTCTTGGTCACTCCAGCCTCTTCACCATCACGTCCCACTCTAACCTTACACCACACCGCACACTCATTATGTCTGTAACCCCAGAGTACAGTCAGCCACTGACACACACAGTGCTTTGGTTCTGCTGCACACCACACCATAGTTGATGCATAATTAATTTTAAGCACAGAGCCTGCTTAGCTTTTGTTTTCTCGGTCACGTAAATATTTTTAGAAACACAGCACAAAGCATTTCATCAAGCAGTGTGCCTGAATATCCTTTTTTCCCCCCAAATCTGTCTGTCCAGACTTGTCTGCTCAAATCACTACCAGAATTAGAATCCAGGATATTTATATCACCACCAAAAAGCCCTTATCATTTCAGTTGAAATGTTTGCCCCCTCTGGTCCAACATCTGGAGGGGAATTTATTCGTGGTTGTCAATGAGTTACAAACTATTTGTCAGACAGAAATAAAATACTGCAGATTGGCACAACGGTTTTCTTGCTTTCAGAAGGAAACACAACCCAGTAAACACAGTGACTCAGTCACAAACCAGGTAGATTCACTCAATGAGAGAATATGACATGAATGGAAATACTTTAATTTACCTTATCAAGAGCCTCGACAAAGCTGAATTTGCACAAAGCTTTTCACAGTATATTTCTGCGATAGCAATGAGTTCATAGCTGTCTGATTTCTAGGCTTGGACTAATACATTTCAGCCAGAAATGAGCACACTGAAATGCAAGTGGCAGGTTGTAGAGCTCAGACAGGAGCTCAGCCACTGGCTGTGTTCTCTTCTCCATGCAGGATTTGCTAACCTGCAAGCATGAAGACTTTGGCTGTAATCTGGCCACCATGGTGGTGAAGCAAAACAGGTTAAGCCCGCCACAAATAAGGGCTCCAGCTTGTTTCCTGAGGCTGCTCCCTAAGTCTGAACACTTAGTCTATATGTCTAGTATTAGTCTATATAAGTCTAGTACTAAATGGGGAGTTTGGTGGCCCTGAATGTGGCAGGGGGGTTGGATATTCATGATCCTTGAGGTCCCTTCCAACCCTGGCCATTCTGTGATTCTGAGAACACTTCTCACAAACAATTTTCAGGATAGAATAATAGAATCACTGAGTTTGGAAGACACCTCTAAGATCATTTAGTCCAACCATACACCTCCCTTCAATATTACTCACTAAACTGCATCCCTAATTACCACAACCATTTTCTTGAACACCTCCAGGGATGGTGACTCCACCACCTCCCTGGGCAGCCTGTTCCAGGGCAGCATCATTCTTTCTGAGAAGAAATCCTTCCTAATATCCAACTTGAACTTCCCCAATACAACTTGAGGCCTTTAACTCTCATCCTATTGCTGTTACCTGGAAGAAGAGGCTGACCTCACCTCGCTACAAACTTTCAGATTGTTCTAGAGAGTGATAAGGTCTCCTCTGAACCTCCTCTTCTCCACAGTGAACAATGCCAGTTCCTCAGCCACTGCTCATAGAACTTTCCCCCATCCAGCCAGGAACGATGGCCATGTCCAGTCTCCAGTGAATGTGAAACTAGCCCCAGCTGAAATTAAAAGCAGCCATCAGCTGTTTCCCCAGGGCAAAGCCTCAACAGAGCACCCAGGTCCTCATCACCCCCCTTTTGGCTCCCTCAGTACTCCCACCGTTTACTGCAGGCCACCTTTCTCTTGCCCCAGCAGCACAGTAAGATTACACTGCCAGCCCCTCGACCACTCACTCAGGTCTCCTGCCCGCCCAGCTCGTCCTCCCCTGCCTCATTTTAAAATGTAAACGTCGGGTCTGATTTCACGGCTCCCGCTCTCCTCCCCCACCCGCAGCACTAGGCCGCCGATCCCCGGTCTTGCGTAGCGGCCACCGCGGGCGGAAGCGCCACCTCCGCCGGCCGGGGCTGCGTGGGGCCGCCGATGCCTTCCGAGCCCCGCGGGGCTCCACCAGGTGCCCGCAACCGGGCATCACTCCACTCCCGGTGCTGCCGGGGGGAAATAGCCAGGTTTCCCGGAAAACGGAAAAGAAGCCCAAACATACTCTTCCTCCTTCCCCCCCCCCCCCCCCCCCTCCGCTTCAATAGAAACCACACATCTCCAGGAGTCCGGGGGGAGGGGGAGAGACTCTACGAAAAAGGGAAAATAAAATAAAATAAAATAAAATAAAAAATAACCTCTCGTGCTACCCGGAAGCTGCTTAAAACATTAAGAATTAAATACAAAAAATAAACAAATACAAAAGCAGAACCTTCTCATTTGATAAACTTTACAAGCTCTAAGGAAGGTGCATTTGGGAAGCTGTTCCAGCTGAGCTTCTCCACTGTTCAGCGGGGCTTTTACCAAACAGGAGGGAGAGCTGCAACCCAAATACAGCCCCAAACGCAGCCCTGAAAGCTACGAGCCACGAGCACAATGAGCCCCAAGTTCTAAATACAAACCCAGGGGCTTTTCCCCTCGCTGTTCACTTTCAGACTACCATCACATTTTTTCCGGGGGGTGGGATTAGGATCTCTGACAATTATTTTTTTGCAAGCCCCACATTTTTTGGCAGAAACGGGGGGTTAGCTTCCGAATGTCGCCAGTATCATTTTCCCCCACTTTTTTTTTTTTTTTTTTTTTTTGCAATTACACAACATTGCATCTATGCAGTCAGCATTGGAAACCTTTACTTTTTAATGAAGCGATGTCCAGATTTTCTCGTTTCACAAGTCCACCCCCTGTCTACATACACACATACACACACATAGCCATTCGGTTTAATAATAATAATAAAATAATCATAAAGGACTCACCTCTCCTCCGGTTCTCCCCCCCACGCTACGTATAACTTTCCTCGATAAATGGTATTATATTACTAGAGGTATTATTAACGTATTATTACTAAAAGTAATAATAACAGTAAGTGCTATTTAATTATAGGAGGGAGCATTCTGCTTGTGGATCGGCTGCCCCTGCAGCTCCCTCCATGTGCCTCCTGAGCTCTTTACTTTCATTTCCAGGTCTCTCGCTCTGCTCGCTCGCAGCCGCACCAGCAGAGAAAATGCCTCCCGCATATCCTCTGGGCCCTAGAGGCTACCGCTTCCCACAGCCTACATGCATGCAGCTTTCCCTCTTGGACGGTGCTGAGATTCTTTAAGTCGAATTAGGCTTAAAAAATAATAACAAAGCACTGAAATATTTGAAGCTCTGTTCTTGATTTTAATACAACGTTGTTAATGATTTATTCAGTCTGGAATGCACTTACTGCATCCCACACTGCTGACGGCTTCCCTGAAAATAAGATCTACAAACATGAACCTTCCTGTGGAAATGAAAATACTGTGTGTATATATAAAATAGTAATACTATTGCATTATATACTGTTGCATATTATACAAAAGACATATATGTAACTTACATGCACATAAAAATCTTTTGGAATTAAATAAAAATTTTTGGAATTAAATGCTTGGCTTGTTCTCATCTCAAACCCATCAGTGTTTCTGGAAAATGAACTACCCAGCCACAACACCCCACATAATAGCATCATGGGAAAAGGATGTTAACATGGAGGTACACAGATCACCTCGGATAAAGATTTCATCCCTCCCCGCCAGCGGCAATGCCATTAACTTCAAATATCGCTCTGAAATGAGCATTATGCTTGGCTCCCAACCTAGCCTCCCTGGTAAGATGGGTTCTCCACTCCTCAAAGACTTCTGCCTCCCATCAGGTCATCATTTCCAGACTGACACCAGTTTAAATTATCCCCCTTTTTCATATGTAATCAGGGACATGTTTACTCCTCAGTGCCTCACTCCTCTATTTACCATTGCCTAAAACAGCATCACTCAGTGATTTGCAGAAAAGCATCTCAGGTAATATTCAGGTGCGGGTAGAAGGTATCATCCAAAACATATTAAAACTCCTTAGGATTCAGAATGTTTTAATCAGAGTAGGAAATACTTGATAGAGAGTAGGATTGGCTGCCGGCAGTCCTGTCAACACAATAAACTGATAATTTACAAAATATAGGCTGTGAATTGTATAATGTACCATATGATGTTGGAGGACATTGTCCTACTCTCTTCACAATATTTAATAACAATCTACTTTTTTTTTTTAGATATTCATTATGTTGTCCAATACAACCCAAAGACTACTCTGATTCAGGGATAGGACAATGTTTATTTTTGCTACCTGTTCAGCAGATTAATTACCTCTTACTTGAACATCTCCAGGAATGGGGCACTGAGCGAGTCACAGAGCCCAGGATGCCTCCAACCATGCTCTCAGAGCTAAAAGGCAAGATAAAAACAGCTGGATGAGAGGAACAAGAGCACTTAGGAGAAGCCAACGAGAAAGCGGAACTAAACCATGATCTATTCACAATCAGGAGTTATCCCGGAAAAAACACTGTATTTTTATACAGGACAGCTTATACAACATTATTTTTCAAGATTGAGTTTCTGCATTGAATGTCACTTCATCCAGCACCAATTTCCTTTGTCTGTAATACTAAGAGCTGCCCCATAAGGGACATGAGGCAAGTGCTGTCCTGCTCGTGAAATAATGCCTTTCCTCAGGGGTTAATTGAAGATTAAGGGCCATTCAGTATCTTAAGGGGACTATTAAGAAAGGAGGGGGCAGACTGTTTAGTAGGGTCTGTTGTGGTAGGACAAGGGGAAATATTTTCAAACAGAAAGAGGGGAGATTTAGACTAGGAATGAGGAAAAGGCTACTTATGACAAGAGCCATGAAGCATAGAAACAGGTTGCCTGGAGAGGTTGTGTGTACCCATCCTTGGAGACATTCAGGGTGAGGCTGAAGGGGCTTTGAGCACCCTGCTCTAGCTGTATGTGTCCCTGTTCACTGTGAGGGAGTTGGACTAGATGGCCTTTAAGGGTTCCTTCCAACTCAAACAATTCTATGATTCTCTGTGATTCTATGAAAATTCTCATAATTTGGAAACATGATTATCCAGGTCTTGTATTCAGTAGAGTCAAAATGCTGCAAATCTCTACTGCAAAACATGGCAGTGTCATAAAACTCAGCCAATATTTGGGAGAAAGAGGAAAGAATTGGATATATTTGATACAATCCTGCTTATTGCTTTAGGCTGTGATGAACTGATAACAAGTGCCACATTTCTTGCTCATACAGTGGCAGTCGTGAAAGTAATGCCTCTTTATTTTATGATGTTGGCTTATGACATGAAAGGTGCACGATGGTGGTGAGGCAGTAGAAGTTGAACCTTCCCACCAGTATCCTGCTATGCTTTGCTGCTGTGCGACAGGTAGCAGCAGAGGGGCAGTCTGACAAAATGGCATCTGACATGGAAGTGTGTATGAAGCAAAGGTGTGTCACTGAATTCCTGCATGCAAAAAAATTGCATCCGTTAACATTCACTGATGCTTGCTGGATGTTGATGGAGACCAAACAGATGTGAGCACAGTGCGCACACTGAGGCGGGGGGTGGTGCCTTTCAGCAGCAAGTGACGGTGCAAATGGGGTGCAGATTGTTATGAGCGTGGCATGCAGGCTCTTGTTCCTTGCTGGCGAGAACAGGCAGCCTAATGGTGGTGACTATATCGAAAGACGGCTTTTTGTCGCTGACAATTTGCTCTATCAAATAGTTATACCGCAACAGACGGAAGCCCGGTCCTACATTCAGGCCCCGCAGGTTTCCCCCACGCGGGGCACGCCGGGAATGCGCCCCTGCGCAGGACTACATATCCCAGCGTGCCCCGCGGCCTCGCCCACGAGCGCAGCTTGCGTCGCTCCGGCGAGCGGCGTCACGCGCGGGGCGGCTCTCAGTGACGCAGCGCCTTGCAGCCAATGGGAGCGGGGAGAGCAAAACTGCCGGCTTTCAAATCCTCCGCCTCCGCCCGCCCCTCCCCCACCCGCTCCGGCGACAGCGACGGCGGCGTGAGGCGGCCCCGTGCCGGCGACACCTCGGCCCCTCAGCGACCCGCACCCGGCGGAGGCCCCGAGGTGAGATCGGGAGGCGCGGCGGCCGTCGGGGACCGCTGGGAGGGGGCCGTGAGGGAGCGGCGTCCCTTAGGACGTTTGTCACGACGCGGGGCCTCGTGAGGCGCGGGGACGGCTCCGCGCGTGGCCCGTGAGCCTTCGGAAACCCCACCCACAGCCGCCCTCTGCGGGCCGGCAGAGTGTGGGGACGTCAAGGGGCGGAGGGCAACGAAGGGACCTTCCGAAGGGAGGGAGTGCGAGGAGGATAACCTTGGGCTGTCAGCAGGCGCGTTTCCAGCTCCTGTTTTGTTAAGAGTGCTTAGTAACTCTGACATTTCAATGTTTGTCCAAAGGTTTTCTCGTGGAAGATCTGGTGGCATAAGAGCCCTCGGGTAGGTAAGTGGTTGGGTGCGGCTGACGTGTGCGATGAAACACGCTGCAGGATGTGCTGGGGAGTTGGTGTGCTGGAATTAGGAATCTGTCACTGCTTATGAAATAAAAAGTAAAAGGAAATCTCAGGGAGAAGGAAAGGTGTGAGTGGGTCTGTCGGCTATAGGAGAACCTCATGGTAAATAGACCCTTGCTTTCATTTTGCCAACTGTATTCCGGGCTGCATCAAAAAGATCATGGCCAGCAGGGCGAGGGAGGTGATCCTGCACCTCTGCTCTGTGCTGTGAGACCTTCACCTGGAGTGCTGTGGCCAGATGGGGAGTCCTCAGTACAAGAGAAACATGGACCTGTTGGAGTATGTCCAAAGAAGGGCCACAAAACTGATCCGAGGGATGGAATGCCTCCTTGTGAGAGAGAAGATTGAGAGAGTTGGGGCTGTTCCGCCCAGAGAAGAAAAGTTTCTGGGGAGACCCGAGAGCAGCCTTTCAGTGTCTAAAGGGAGGATATAAGCAAGAAGGGAACAGACTCTTTAGCAGGATCTGTTCTGAAAGGGTAAGTGGAGATCGTTTCAAACTGAAAGAGGAAAGGTTTAGACTAGATATAAGAATAAAGTGGTTTTTGATAAGGGTACTTGACGCACTGGCATTGGTTGCCCAGAGAGGCAGTGGATGCCCCATCCCTGGATACATGCAAAGTCAGGCTGGAGGGGCTCTGAGCATCTTGATTGAGCTGTGGGTTCCTTGCAGGGGTGTTGGACCAGATGGCTTTTAAGGGTCCCTTCTAACGAAAGCAATTCTATGATTCAGACTGTTGGGTAATGAAGTATTATAAAGCTAAAGATTAAAGTTGGTGAACAAATTGACTGCTGGACCCTATCTGACTTCTGTTCCTTGTGGTAAAACCTTCATGGCTGGGGGACATCCTTGCATCTTCTCCTTTTTAATTGGATTGACAGAGATTGGGAGCATCCGTTGCCTGTTGCACAATGTCTGTGACTTAGCCTCTTTTTATCGTCAGCATCTACCTGAGAGGACAGTCATCCTCAAAAGATGGTGCTGATAAACCTTGGAGGTGTTTTATCTTCTATGTCCCAAATGCTAAAGTTAATGAAAGCTGAAGAGAAGCTTTGCCCCAGGGAAGCTGAAAACAAATGCTTCAAAACAGCAATCCTTGGAATGGCAGCATGTGAATTTGCCATGGAAGAAGTAGCTCAGGACACAGACCTCAGTGGGTAAAGTGATGTGCACTATCTTTTGTGATAGGAAGGGGGTGATTCTTCTCGATTTCTTCGAACCCAGACAAACCATCAACTCTGACTGTTATGTTGTGATGCTGACTAAGCTACAGGCTTGAACTTCCAGAATTGAGCCAGAGAAGAAGGCAACCTTTTCCTTGCAATGCAATAACATCAGGACCCGTACCACTTCGAAGGCCATAAAACACATTGCCAGTCTTGACTGGACTGTTCTACCACATCCACCCTATAGTCCACTTCTGGCACCTTCTGACTTCCATCTGTTTGAGCTGATGAACAATGGACTCTGAGGGCAACATTTTCATTTCATTTTCATTGCAGCGATGCTGTCGTAGCAGTTGTGAAGCAGTGGATCATCTCCAGTGGTACAGATTTTTATGAGCATGGCATGTAGGCTCTGGTTTATCACTGGTGAAAATGCATAGCTAATGACGGTGCTTACGTTGAAAAACTGTTTTGTAGCTGAGAATTTCCTCTGTCGAATGGAGTTACTGTGTTCTTTGTATCTGTTGTAGTTTTCCATGGAAATAAATAGGAGGCCTTACTTTCAGAATGAGCTGTGTACAACACACATGATTTTTC